AATTTCACGCACTTTCTATATTGAGCCAGAATTTGGTGACTTTTTGGATATGCTAAGACCCCCTAAAGGCCATTCAAAGACGCGAAAGAAAAAAGAAAGAAAGAAAGAAAGAATAAACGGAGCAGATACAATAGGCCTTCGCAGCGCTTCGCTGCTCGGGCCTAATTACCTGCCTCAAAATGTACTCAAGTAAAAGTAAAAAGTAGCTTATTTCAAATGTAGTCAGAGTAAAAGTTACTTAGTTACTTTTTTGACTGTGCAAGGACGGGCTTTTCTGAATAGTTAAAAAAAAGAATGGGGTATAAATGTCAAAGTGGCTGTTTTTTTTATTAAATGAACAAATATGCATATTGAAGTACAAAGGCAGTTACACTGCAAACTAGTAATATAAATTAGGTTATAGTCCATGACTTTTCCCTGAATGACACCCCCCCGGCAGATCCTGATAGACATACCCAGTATCTGAACCTCGCCAGTAGCAGGTGATGGTCAACAGTGTCAAAGGCTGCAGTCAGGTCCAGCAGGACCAGAACAGAACAGTCCCCTGCATCACTGTGAGTCAGAAGGTCATTAGAGACCCTTACCCCCAAATTCCACTACCTCCGCTCCACTCCGGTCCGCTCCCGCCTTCCGCAGCCGCTCGCTTCCGAACTCAATTTTTACTGGTACCCGCTCTACAACGGCTCCGCTCCGGTGTGGAGACCTGAGGTGGGCAAACAAGCATGCGCGGGATTTTCGAGATCTTGCGATACAGTCCGAGCAATAAACGCGGAAGTTAGATCCAAACACCCGTTGTGTGGTAGAAGCATCGGCATGAACTGTTTAATCTGCCCATCATTTGTGTTGACAGATCAGCAGTATTTGGATCAACAAAGTGTGACTACTTTGATAGTAGAAACTGTATTTATGGCTTACTTTTGTGCATTTAAACTTCAGCCGCCACTGATAGTTGTTAAAAGTTGTTAAACCTGTGCTTATGAAACAAAAAACGCCTTTTGTTTATCGATGTATTGTGAAAAACGGAAGTTCTGCTTGCTCCTTTTCCTGTTGGGCGTTTGTGATTTCTGTCCATTGACTGTGGAGGTGCTCCGGCGTCCGGCAAAAATAGGATCGATTCTATTTTTGCCGGACACCGGAACAGAGTGCGGCGCATGGCGCCGCACTGCCGGAGCACGGCCGCAGTAGTGGAATTGCTCTGATTGACTAGAACGGGACCGATTTTGCTCCGGCGTTCGTGTCGGAGCGGAGGTAGTGGAATTTGGGGGTAAGAAGAGCTGTTTCAGTACAATGAGCTCAACGAAAACCTGACTGGAAGCTATCATAGATGTTATGTTCATCAAGAGCAGCTGTGAGTTGTTTAGCCACAACCTTTTCCAAGATCTTGGAGATGAACGGAAGTTTAGAGATGGGCCTGAAGCTGCTATGGAGAGAGGGGTTGAGACTCGGTTTTTTAAGAAGCGGGTGGATTACAGCGTTCTTAAGGTAAGCAGGGACCTGACCAGAAACCAGAGAAGCATTAATTATAGAGAGCACGCTGGGACCGATGGACTGAAAAGCACTTTTAAACAAAGATGAGTGTAGGATGTGATGACTGTTGCTTGACTTGCTCCGTCCCGGCCTCTGCCATCTGGTCAAGATGTCTTCTCATATTGATCAAACCTGTTGAATGACAAATACATAACACATATTTAATATATCTGGCAATTAAGTTTTGATGGAAGATGCAACAAGAATCCACATTACAATATTATACTATTTACAATATTATACTTTTTGACAGTAAATGTTTTGTTAATGAACCTTTCATTCATATTTTATTCAATTTTATATTTTGTACTGTTCTTTTATATAACAACACATAGTCAGAATCAAAACCAAGAAGCGTTTCCATCACATATTCTCAACATATTTCTCAATAACAGTCATCTTATATTGTCTTTTAAATAGTAGTAGACTAGCAGCACTCTGTAAGTTGTCGTCTAAACCATTCCAAAGCTTAACACCTCTTGTGGATATGCAGTGAGTTTTGAGGGTTGTGCGGGCGCATACCACCTTGAAATTATTTGATCCCCGCAAATCGTATCCACTCTCTCTATCAAGAAACAGCTGTTGAATATTGATTGGTAATTGATTCTGTCTTGCTTTCTACAAAATTTGCATTGACTTTAGGTTAACTAGATCTTCAAGTTTTAAGATTTTAGACTTCATGAAAAGTGTATTAGTATGGTCTGTGAAACCAACATTATGTACAATCCTAATAGCTTTTTTTAAGTCTAAATACTGCCTCCAAATGGCTACTGTAGGTATTACCCCAGACCTCTGCGCAGTAGCTAAGATAGGGTAGAATAAATGCATAATACAAGATTAGTAGAGCTTTGTGGTCCAGAAGGAATTTACATTTTCTCATAATTGCAATATTCTTTGCCAATTTCTTTTGTATGCTATGTATATGAGATCTCCAGCTGATATTGTGAGTATCACTCCCAGAAATCGATACTCATTTACCTTTTCTATTTCATTGTTGTCCATTTTGATTCTGATTTCAATGTCTTTAGTTTGTTTACCAAACAGCATCATTTTTGTTTTTGAAATTCAAGTTTTTATTGAACTTTCTTTGAGGGGCTGGTACATAGCAGTCTCAGTAGATACTAAACATGGAGGGTCTAAACATACAGTTATAACAGTTGATTTTGGATACAATTCCCAATCATATAACTCCTGCAGACACGTAATGCCGGAACAACAGCAGTCAAATAACTTGCTTGATTTCACCCAAGGCCTTTGTCTGTCTTTATAAAGTTCCAGAATCCATCCCAGTGAGAACAGGGTGTCCGCGGGGTTTTAAAAAGTATTAAAAAGTGATAAATAAAAATAGTCAAATTTAAGGCCATTAAAAGTGTTAAATTTGGTCTCAGAGGTATTATTTTTTCCTAATTAGGTATTATTTTTTTCAGACTATCAGGTGTCGTATTGTGAACATCGCCATAGAAATATATTCTGAATGAAATTGAAAATGAAATATGCAGGGCTCGCGGGGCTTTAGCATATCCGGTCACATAATGATGACGTCAGTGGTCGTTCGGCATCCCGCGCAGTCAACTGTCTGAACTGCTGAACAGAAGTGGCTTGTTACGCTTAGTTTTAGATTTACCTCAAGGCATATCTTCTTGGAGTGGGCAACCATCATCGTCTTCATGGGCAAATGCAAGTTTTCTGCTAGCTGGGTGGACGACCCAGCGTTTAAGGACTGGCTCAGACCTGTAGTAGGTAATAACAGGCAGGCTTATTGTTCGGTGTGTAAAAAAATCATCAATGTCAACTGGATGGGAGCTAACGCACTTCGTTCGCATATGCAGTCCACTAAACATAAAAATGGAATACGTGCTCGGAGAGACCAATTAATTCTACCACTCTCAGCTGTCTCTACGGCTTCACCACCACCGCAAAGTAGTGCCACGGTAAGCCTCCCGGCCAGCACTATGGCTCCAGCAACGTCGGACCTTCGGGTGTTCATGGGCGCCACACCAACACTGCGCGCGGAGGCTCTGTGGTGTCTAAACACTGCTGTTAAACACCACTCATTGAACTCCAATGAAGGGATTTCGGAGCTGTTTAAAGAAATGTTTCCTGACTCTGACATTGCAAAGTCATTCACGTGTGGTAAAGACAAAACCGGGTACATCATCAGATTTGGATTAGCATCGTTCTTCAAAACACAGCTTGTTGATGGCATCAACAAGGCTGGGCCATTCGTATTGATGTTCGATGAGAGCTTCAATCAGGCGTCAAAGAAGAAACAGCTTGACATTCATGTTCGATATTGGGAGGACGACCGTGTCCAATCCAGATACTTTGGATCTCAGTTTTTGGGACATGGAAAGGCCGAAGATTTGTTGCATCATATAAAGGTAAGTTATTTTATATATAGCCCTACTTACGCAGTATTCAGTGGTCACTAATTTGAAGAGTTATTTATTCACAAAGGCTTTGTATATTATATAGGATGTTGTTGGCTAATTTACTGTTGGTTACACAACATAATGAAATTTGCAAAAGTCTAGCAGTTACTTGAATGAAACCTGTAGGCCCACCAACATTTATTTACCTGTGGGGTATAGCTCCAAGGTACAAGACAATTATGTTTTAGTATTTTGTTAATTTCTAACAACCCATCACAGTCATAGAAATGTAATATTTGGCTCAGGTTTTGTTGTTTTTTATTGGGGGGGGGGGGGGGGGGGACTAAATAACAGTATATCAGGGTTATAATAGCATTAAAATTCTAAATAAATAAAACAAACTAAATAAAATAGGACTCTCACTCTCTTTTAGAAAATGTTGCACCAAAGACAACAGGATAGACCCTGTCTTTCCAAAACAAAAAACACAATGGCCTATCCAGTGTCAACAACCAAAACTGCATTTCAATAATGATAATAAATATTAATATTAGAGTTGTACATTTCTTAATCTCCACATATTGAGGCAGAAAACATTTTTGAGTTCATTTTCATCTATCGTTCAATGAATTGATTATTGATTTATTGCTTATGTCCCAGCCCTAGTTTTAGTCTTTTCATTAAAAAAGTTGTGTAACAGGGCAAGACTGAAAAAAGAATAAATGTATAACAAAATCTTAGCAAATGATGCTTTTTAAAAAAATGTATTGATATGGGCCAGATTAACAACCATGCAAATCAGGCAAGTATAAAATATATATGGCAGATTAATTATTATTAAAAAGCCCAACAATTAATACAGGTGCTACGGTTCTGTAAAAACACTAATACTGACTGGCAACGTTGAGCCATGAGCCAAGTCACCATGAGTATTATGCTTTTGGTCATGTCGAACATATTCTAGTAGTAATTAATCCAAAATTGGACTCTGTCACTTTCTCTCAACCTTAGCTTATGTGACACACAAGATAATGCAGTGAGTGTTGAGATCTATTTTACTGTGTCTGATAACACAGATTTCCTCCTGGTGTCAATTCACAGGAATGTGTCACACGGTTGAATATGAGGCAACTGCTATCCGTTGGAATGGATGGCCCCAATGTGAATTTCAAGTTGGTGGATCTACTCCAAAAAGAACATGCAGAGCTCTATGGAGGCGTCCAGGTTGTCACTGTTGGAAGCTGTGGACTTCACACCATCCACAATGCTTTAAAGGCAGGCTTTACTATGTGGCAACTGGAAAAACTTCTGCGAGCCATGCACTTCCTCTTTCATAATGTTCCTGCCAGGAGAGAAGATTTCACCAGCCTGACAGGGTCCTCCTGCTTTCCCTTACCATTTTGTGGCCATAGGTGGGTGGAAAACGTTCCAGTGGCGGAAAGGGCAGTTGAAGTTTGGCCACTGCTGAAGACATATGTGGATGCTGCAGAGAAAAAGAAGGTTCCAGTCCCCTGCACAGCTTCATATGACACCATAGTAGCTGCACAAAAGGATCATTTCATTATTGCAAAACTCCAATTCTTTCTGGCAATTTCAAGAACTTTCAACCCCTTCTTGACAAAATTCCAAACTGATGAGCCAGTGTTGCCCTTCTTGGCCAGAGATTTGACTGAGCTGCTGATGGTAACGATCATTAAATATTTTATACAATTGACTGCATTTGGTGAATTTGTGTAAATTGCTGGATTATTAACTGCTTGTTTTGTCATTTTAAGAGTTTACTGAGGCGGTTCGTTCAACGAGAACTCACTGAGGACCTCACACCCCTGCAGCTGATCAAAATTGATCTAACAGATGAAAGGAACTTGATGTCCCCAAAGAGTGTAGACATAGGCCTGGGAGCAGAATCTGCTATCAAGGTAATTTTATTTATTCCCCCTGAGGTGCACATGTGTTTTGGGATGCCTACACAAAGAACCAGGATGTATGTTGTAAAATTAATTTCTGTCGTTTAGTAGTACTACTACTGTTACTACTATGTTTAGGCTGCTACTACAGCTGATATTCAAATTAATAGTAATAATATGAAGATGAAAAGAAAATAGGGATAAAGAAATATTATTTTCCAAAGCATTTGCAGTGAACATTCACTAATGTTCCTCACTTCTCAGGAACTTCAGAGCAAACCAGGATTCAAGGTTGGTGAGCTTTCTGTGCTCACCTTCAGACGAGAATGTTTGCAGGGCCTGGTTAAGGTTGTTGTGAAGCTACAGGAGAAAAGCCCCCTGAAGTTCCAAGTGGTCAGGCAGACAGCATGTTTGGACCCTTCAAGAATGCACAGAGATCCTGATTGGTGCATCAGACAGATGAAGGGAATAGTGCAAACATTCCTCCAGGGCAAACATTTGGCAGGTGGCATCCCAGCTGGTAAGAATATATTGTATAGGGACAGTCAAAGTGCATAGGTTATTCGGATTGATTAGAGCGTTGTGTGGGAAGTGTGCGTTAGAAAGATGTTTTTCTGCATTCTCCTCTCAACAGTCAGGAAGTGTCAATGCTTTATCAAATTAAAAAGTTCAGAAGAAGCCTTACACATCCCTAGCTCTTCTTAGATGTTATAACATGATGTTGTGATGTATGTATTGCCAAATGGTCTGATGGGCCAACTGGGACTACTACATTTAAATGACCTATTAAGTAACTATTTATCTATGTTGTAGGTGATGTCATCATTCAGCAGTTTACATCATTGCTGTCTCTTGAGGCTAGAGGTGAACAGTTCCGCTCTTTCCAGCCTTTCAAGCAACGTGTGGATGTGTTTCTACACTTGACCCTCAGCCCATCCTACATGGACCTGTTGAGATTCTGCCAGAGCGTTTTACTTCTTTCACATGGACAAGCCACCGTGGAGAGGGGCGTCTCCATTAACAAGGAGGTGGAAACCTGTAACCTTCTAGGTGAATCCTTGGAGGCACTGAGGTTAATCTGTGACAATGTTAGTAGCTGTGGTGGTGTCCTCAAGGTGCCTTTAACCAAGGACTTGCTGGCTTCTGTGGCCTCAGCAAGGTCCCAGTACAGGCTCTACCTGGAGCAAGAGCGTAAAAAGAGGGAGAGTGATGCTCAAACACAGAAAAGGAAGGTCGCAGAGGACGAACTACAGGAGCTCAAGCAGCAACGCAAAGTCCTGGACGAAGTCTGTGCCATCCTTGAAAATGATGCCAACAAATTAGCTGAGGAGGCAGAGGGGAAAGCTGGGTCAAAAATGGCTCAGCTAATCACCAAATCAAACACACTTAGAAGGAGACACAAGGAGAAAAAAGAGGAACTGGTCAAAATGGACAAAACTATTGAGGAAAAAGCCATGGAATTAAGGCACTTGCCATAGCATATTTTGCCCAAAGGTTCATATTAGGCCTATAGCACAAGTGCAAACATTAGTTCACCAGTTCATGTTTCCAATTTGTGAAAATAAAACAGTTCATAGAAGATATCAGTTTGGAATGCATCAACTTGCAGTAAATGCCAGTGTGCTGGAACTGTCCATTCTCTCCATTGCACATTTTATGTTTGTTTTATTTTCTAAGTAAAATAAATATGTGCAATACGTTGTCAACATCAGTGAGTCTCTAAGTCTATTCTTTTTATATGTTATATATGTTAAAATATGTGTAAATAGGTCGCTGATTAACACTTGCAATTTAGTGTTGTGATGGTTTTAAACAAATTCTGAAGGTAGTAAAAAAGGTATTAAAAAGTAGTAAATTTTACTTAAGGATTGCTGTATATACCCTGGAGAAGTTCCCTCTCTGTTGTCTTCACTCATTTTACTGAGCATACATTCATATGATGCAGATTCGGCCATTGCACAGACCCATTCCTTAACCTCTGGAGATTCTACTGCTTTCCAGTGTCTTAAAATGACTCGACAGGCTGTTATTAACCCCACTGAGATAATTGAAAAATTACACTTATTTACATTAGGCAACTGAGATTCATCTCCCAATAAGCACAGTTCTGGGTTAAAAGGGATGTCTGTTCCACACCAATTACTTAAGATCTTGACAATACGGGTCCAAAAACATCTGATAGGAGCACATTCCCTAATACAATGCGTGAACGTCCCAATACTCGTTTTGCATTTCCAACACAAATCATCATCCACTAGCTTCATTCTAAACAGTCTAGATGGTGTATAATAGTATCTGTTTAGCACATTATATTGCGTGAGTTTACTCCTCACCTCTTACGTGTTTACCACAGTTAACAACAATTGTTCTCCATATCATCAAACATTATGCCAAGGTCTTTCTGCCAGATCATTTTTAACTGGTTGGAATCATCACTGAGGAGAGAGTTAATGATTCTATAGAACTGTGAGGCTTTTTGTTTACTAGTTGGAAGTTTCATATACTCAGTTACTGTGTTGTCTTCAATATTATATGGCTGCGAGGTAATACAACTTCTCATTTGCAAGAACTTCCGAAAGTGACCCCTTCCCTCTAAGTTAAACTCTTGCACTAGTTCAGCATATGACAGAAACGCCCCATCCTTAAACAAATCTCCAATAGTATTTAATCCTTTCACTTGCCACTCTTTCCAGTAAACAGGTTTTTTCCCTATGCGGACCTTGGGATTATACCATAATGGGGAATATTTCTGCTGAGTATGTTTGAGGTTTAACAGTCTATGGACTTTGTTCCATACATCCTTTGAATGTAAAAGTACTGGATTAGTAATATTAGACCTTTGTGCTAGTATTGCTGAAGGTTGAAAAGGTAAACATATCTTTTCCTCCACCTCCATCCACCCTGGTTTATCTGTTATTGTTTGCCAATACCTTGCTATTTTTGTCATCTTCAATGCTAGATAATACAATCTCAGGTCTGGCAAACCCAGCCCTCCTTTCTCCCTATGTGCACATAATTTCCTTAATTTCAGTCTTGGTTTTTTCCCATTCCATAATTTTTTTTTTTATTACATCATCTAGTTGTCTAAAGATGGCAGGTGGAATCTTAATTGGCAACATCATTACAACATATGTAATTTGTGGGGCAACTATCATCTTTATAGTATTAATTTTTCCCATCAGACTCAATTTTAGTTTTGACCATTTATCAAGATTTGTTTTTAGCCTTTGAAGCAGGGGGTTGAAATTCAATGCTATTATCTCATCTATATCCTCAGAGACGTTAATACCGAGATATTTCATTCCCCTACGCATCCATTTAAATTTAAATGTTTCTACCATGGATGAAATGCATAGCTTAGAAAGGGGCATTGCCTCTGAT